AAAATGTAATATAAATTATAAAAAAAAAAAGAAAAAAAATTTTTTTACTATTTCAGATTCGGCATTTCAATGAATATTATTATGTTTTCAATATATCATTTCAGAGCGCGCAATGTGCTCAAATTCCAACACTATAAGTTGGCACAGTGTTTCTCCAATATTCTTATACATTCTTAAATTTTTTACTAATAGTTTTTTTTAATAGAGCCAAACTACCTACTCTACTTTATCATTATAAACTAAATGTATTGTGGATAAAAACAAAAAATAAAATAAAAAGTTTAGTAGGCATCGCATATAAACCAAAAATGGTTTGAATTTTTATTAAGTTATGATGAGTTTTATTTTTTATAGGTGTTCTTTTCTTATTCCTATTAACTATTCATTTCAATTTTACTTATTTTATAATTTTTTTATTGTATTCTAATTTATCTGAATCCTTGCAATTGGTTACATTTTGACATGAATGACATTTTGTAAAGAATATTTGATTTAATACACAATATTAGTAGTATAAAAGTTTTAATCAAAAACTGCATTTATTTTTATTTTTTTCTCATTTAAAACGTTAAATGATTGATTACTAAATAACTGTGTTATTGTTTTTTGCAAAAATTAATTCAGTTTATCACAATTAAACTAAACAAAAATCAATTAATTATAGAAGTCAAAATGTATCAATATTTTTAATAAAAAAATTTTGTAATCGATTGTGTATCGAAAATCATTATTAAAAAAAAATAATCTATACATATTATATTGAAAAATAAATGTCAAATAAATCGTTTACAAATATTAATCGTTCGATTAAACTAAAAATATAACCAAATTGACAGATGACAAACGAAAAATCTCGAAGAGAAAACAAATATTTTTTGTGAGGACATCTGCATACACAATATTACAATACTACTATGCAAAAACTGTACCAAAATAAAATTAGACAAAAACAGTACATAGTATAACCTGATTTATAAAAGTTCAAAAAAAAAAAATCGTTCATAGTGCGGCTTTGGTTCAAGATTAGTTCTTAAGTTCCAATTTCGCAAGAAAATGTATTAGTTCGGTCTTCAATAAACCTAACGAAATTGTTTCTATTTGTTGTGGTTATTATACGAGTACACAGTAGAAATTGTATTTCAGTCCGGTTGTCATATTTATTTTCATACGGAAACAATAATTTCCTTGTGGTATGCAATGAGCATACCACAATTTAAGAACCATATATTGCATATTTTTCGGAGACAGCTTTCTAAGATAGATTTTGTGCCCGTCTTTTTTGTAGAAACTCTAAGGCTTTCGTGTGTTAATGTCAATCAAGATTTTTTTGTTTTATCAAAATATAAAATACAAAAATTGAACACTCGCACATATTTATATTTCTTTAAATATCGGTAATACTTCATGTCTTGTATGTAAATTATTGTGGTAATATTATTTGTTACTCATCACCTCATTTATATGCAATATTAGTTTGTATTCTCTCTATCAACATAAAATCATTACAAAATAAACCGTTAATTATAAAAGCATTAGACATTTAAAAAAAAACTTTTGTTTGTTTTATGTTTTTTCCTTTTTTTGTTATTATAAATCAAATAATTGTGTCTAACGGTGTTAAAGTTAAAGCTTTTTTATTAATTTTTTTTATGATAATTTTTTTTATAAATTTTTTTTTTTTTATAAATTTTATGAGTATTTTAATTTTTTTTTTGTACAAAATATACTAATCTATGCTTATACATACTCTTGATTGTATGCATATATACATGGATATTATGTGTGAATAAGTATGTACATCTATATACAACATGTATGTACGACTTTACAATTGGTGTGACGACATCAAAGTTGGATAGTCATACATTTACACTTTGTATACATGGATCAAGTCTAACTTATGAATTTTATGAACTACTGGAATTATGCCACTGTTAAATTTCACATACTAATGGGTGGTTTTGTTATATTATTTTTTAGCGGCAGCGTTACAAAAAAAAATACATATCAGCATTTTCCTCATACGATTATTCAGCGCAGCGCGACTCTTGTATTTCAATAAAATGAAAGTAATATTATTTTTTTTTACCGTTTTTTATTTTAATTTGGTCTTTTTTCTCTTCTATTTACTGTATTTTTCGTAATTCGATTTTAATGTTTTATTTATTGAAATCGCTGCTGTTGCACACCTTAAAATTTATTTGAACAAAATATACGTTAAATTCATTTTGCTTTTTTTTTAGTTTATTGTATAGTTTGCGTTTTATTGTAATTTTTTTTAGGAAATATTATTTTGAGAGTTGATATGATTTTTGTTCAACTTTGCATGTTGTGTCAAAAATTGAAAATAATTGAAAAAAGGAGAGTTTAACAAATTGGAAGTTGTTTTTTTTTGTTTGTTTTATACCGTAAAATTTTTTATGCTTAAATTGAGACAAAAAATCGATTAATTTTATTTTTAAATTTATTTAAAATAGCAAATATTTTTATTTTTTAATTAGAATATGTCAAAAGAGAAAAAAAAATTAACAAAGGATAGCTATTTAATTTATTTAATGTCGTTAAGGTTATCATGATACGGGAATACAAATTTTTTTTAATTTAAATAATATAAAAATTAAAGTACATGAAAATTTTATTTTATTGTTTTTCAAATCAATAATTATTATGTTGTGACATAATAATTTGCAATTCTATTTTAATCTTGACCTAGATATGGGCATGTATGAATCATATGTAAATTTATACGTCATAGCTAAAATTTGTTGTTTAACTTATCCGTCAACTGAACTCTTTTTACAAAAAAAAAAAACAATAAATTTTGTACAATTGCAAACTTAATTGATGTTAATAGTAATATTTGAAAAAAAACTGAACTGATTGATTATTAAATAAGGCAAAAATCAAAAACCACGATGTCAACAGAATAATTATAAAAAAAAAATCCACTTATCAACTTTTTTGACAAAAGAATAATTAATTAAATTTATTAATGTGACAATAAGAAAAAATCAAACTTTGAAAATTGAGAAATATCGATAGTTTTGGATTTGATTTTTGTTCTATTTTCGATTTAATATTTCTTTAATAATTGATTATTACCTACACATATTTAATTTTACATATAGTTAAATTATTACATAATTATATACGGGAACATTATGAATGCATATGTATATGAAATATTGTAATTATAAAAAATTAAAGTTTTTTTAGGGTTTGTCGTCTCGGTATTTTTAATTTTTACGCAAATGTTGAAAATAACAACTAAAGTTAAAAAGTTAAAGAAAAACACAACTATGAGCCACAACTACTTTTAAGATGGTTCAATTTGAGCAACTCTTGTACCTCCATTGAATCACATGATATTGACGGCTAATCAACAGTTCCAAAATGTGAAATCAAATCACTAAAAGATCGTTCAAAATAAATTTAATTGATTAAATAGTAAAATCAGTTGAAGGTCCGTTTAGGTTTCAGTAGCAAATAATAAACCAAACAGATATCTAAATGAGATCTACAGCAAAACATGCTTAAAAAGTATAGAAAATAAGTACCCCCATTTTTAAGTATTCAGTATTAATGAAAGAAAATAAAATTTTTAATTATATGAGAAATTGAAAGTTAAAATCAAAATGGCGTAATATTGTCTTCTAATCGAGGTTTTAAGAAACGTGTTATAGACTGATTCAAAATGTCAAAAATTGATTGACATAAAATTTATTTTGACAACAATATACCGAAATTTTCCCTATAAATAGTATGATTATTTATAAATCAGTGCAAACATAGGATAATGTTATCAATAATATTTCATATGTACATAAACATAAGGCACACAATTCTGCTTAATTTATGATTTTTTAGAAAAAAATTATTAAAGCTAAAACGTACATAGATAAATATTTCAGTAATATATCTATGATATTTTATAAACAAATGGCAAATGCATGTAATTATATTTCATCACACTATTCTAAACAAGTGAAAAAAAAGCATGAAACAAGGTGTGTTCATAATTTGGAAATGTTTTTTTTTTTATTTTTCATTGATTCAAAAAATACATTGTACTAGCATTTATGTAAGTGCAAATATATCATAGGCTGTGTAGTAAATTATGACGGAAGAGATTAGATTCGAAATATGTATAATATGTTAAAAATTGTTATAACTTTAAGGTTCCCCAATATTTTGTAAGAAAAATCTTTTTAAATTTTTCTCTATTTCACAAACGTGCACTCGAGTAGAGTATTTTCCTTCTTTCTTTTTTCTTAAATTACAGGTTATAAAAGTGAGAAAATATTACTAAGATTTAAACTTATAATAACAACATAATAATAAATCATAACACAATTGTTGTAATAACATTAATATAGGACAATGTGTGGCGCTGTCTACATATTTATAAAACAATAATTATGTGTAATTTGACGTGGGGTTTCGCGTCTTTTTCGTCTGAATTTTAAAGTTACTTGATTGTTTAAAAACTTAAATTAAGGGGCGGCGAATAATTGAAACTTTTATTATAGTTCGTTGCTTATAATTTAAATGTATAAAGTGGATAGTATTTTATTACTACATAACTTGTAAATAATTAAATAAGTATTGTTATATGTTATTTAAGAATTGCTTAAATAAGTTTGAATAAATACACGCCAGGGGTTGTTTTTAATTTGTGATATATTTCGCTAACTGATTAATTAGTAAAAGGTTATTGGTGTCTACAAATATTTGTACTTCACATTTACAAACTTCCAATACATTTTGAATATGGTAAAATTTGACATTGTACGTCATTTAATGCATGTGTGTTTACGTATTGTGCACAATTATGAATTTATTGCTAATACAGACATACAGAATGAATAATTACTTCTAAAAAAAAAAACCTAATCGAATGAAAATAATCCCTTTCTTATCGTTGTTGCAAAATCCTACAATTCTATCCAAAAATATCTCAAACAAAAAAATCTAAATTCTATTTCCTTTTGTTTTTAAAGCTGTGAGAGCCGATCGAATGCGCGGTGGTAGAAATAAATTTGGGCCAATGTATAAACGTGATAGAGCGAGAAAATTACAAATGATGAGACAACGACAACTGGCATTACAGGCAATCAGATCATCTATGGGTACAACGGATATAAAACCTGGACAAATATCACCATCTGCTTATACACAATCATATCCAAGTATGAGTATCAAACAGGAAATTCAAATACCACAGGTTAGTTTTAGAGTACTACTCTTATTTTAAAATAAATTGTAACCAAAAAACATGAATATGATTACTTAAGCCGCGTTAATTAACATTTGTCCCAAAAAAAATGTACGCACATATTTTTTTGAAACCGGGACCAACAAACATTTATTTATAAAGCAAATGGAAATTTCGAAATTATAAACGAATCATTTTTATATATTAAATCGGTTATATGTATAATATCGAAAAATAAATTTAACATTAAAATAAAGGTATGAAGTTTCATAAGACAGACACTCACATTTTTACCAGATAATGCAATTCACTTATTGCTAAATAGATTTAAAAAAAACATAAAGGCAAAGAAGTTAAAATTAATTATCAAAAAAAATTAAAAATTCAAAAAGTGTTAACAAAAAATATATTATTACCTTTGGTGTTAAAAAACGATTCGAGAAAAACATGAAAAAAAACATTAGTAAAAATAATTATTGTTTGTAATGAAAGAAAATATAAAAAATTTTGATAAGAAGTTCTTTACTAACGGCAACATTAAAATTAAAGAAATCCATTAAGAAAAAAATGACCTTTGTGTAGTGTAATTAATTTCCAATAGGTGTCTGTGTGTAGCATGAAATGTGTCAATTTGATATTGTTGAAAGCATAAGAAAGAATGTACCAAAGAGAATTTGTAATTATTTGAATTTAATTTTTAAAGAAAATTACATTTAATAAATATTATTTAAAATTTTTTCAAAAATTTAATTTATTTAATAAAATATTTTTTTTTTTCAAATTTTAATTGAAATTATTTAGGTATCATCACTAACGCAATCACCAGATTCATCACCGAGTCCAATAGCAATTGCTCTTGGTCAAGTTAATCCTTCAGCAATAATTGCAACATCATTAAGTGGTAATGGTGGTAATGGTTCAACGACAACAACAACAATTAGTGGTACAAATAGTGGTGGTACAAGTAGTGCTAGTTGTGGTCAAGATTCAAGTTCTGGATCTCTTCAACATTCATCTGAATCAAAAATATGGTCTGTATACGTTTTTATTTCTCTTTTTTTTTATTTTTAAATAACGATATAGTATTAATTATATATTTTATTTACATTTTACATTTGTTTTATAAAATATTAGTTTTGATTCTGGTACGAATCCATCAAGTACAGCTGATTCAGCAGTAGAGCCATTAAGGTATAATTATTTTACTATAAATTTATAATTTATTAGTAATTCATTATTGTTTTCTAAAATTCTTTATATAGGGTTTCACCTATGATTAGAGAATTCGTCCAATCAATTGATGATAGAGAATGGCAAACGCAATTATTTGCATTATTACAAAAACAGTCGTATAATCAGGTGGAAGTAGATCTCTTTGAATTGATGTGTAAAGTACTAGATCAGAATCTTTTCTCACAAGTTGATTGGGCTAGAAATACGATATTTTTTAAGGATCTCAAAGTAAGTTGTTTTTTAATATTTACTTATATTGAATTTTATATTTATTTGTCTTAATTTTATAATTTTAAGTAAGTAATGAAAATTTGAAAATATGCATTGTTTTTGGGGTTGTCTTAAGTGGTTTAGATCGGAATTATTTCTTTAATTTGGTTTATATTAAAAAAACTTACGATCAAAATGATAAAGCAAATTTCATTGATCAAAATTTAAAAAAAATTCAATTCATGCTGAAATTCTTTTTTTCCAATTTTTTGTTTTCTGCAAAAAAAATTTTAATTCCCATAAAAATCAAAAGAGAAAAAGTAAAACAAATAATTCTAAAACATTAATAGCACTATAAGTATTATAGCGTTGTTATAATTATATTATAGTATAGCCGCTAGAGACCATTAATAATGTGTCCATAGAGAGAAAAGAGCAAATAATAACAAAATAAATAACAACAAATTAAAAAAAATTCAAACTGAAACAATGTTTCATGCAACATTTGATTTTATGAAACATGCTGAGTGTTGCGATACAAAAACAGCGCGACGTGGTATAAAAGTGAACAATTTAATTCTAAATTTTTTGTTCTCATATTGTTCTCAAATGTGTTTTAATTTCATTGTATAATTTTTTTTTGCTCTCCGAAAAATGAATGTTACACTACAAATGGTCGAATTATTAAAACAAATAGCAAATTTACCCAAAAAATTTTAAACCATGTAACGTTACTCCAAACAAAAATATCTTCTAATTATGTGGTTTTAATTTAAAAACCTTTGTCTTTTGAAATTTCAATTTCATTGCAGAGCTTGCTAAATGAAGTGCAAAACCTGCAAAGGTAAATGTTTTAAAAATTCTATGTAAATTTGAGTTACCAATACAGTGACTTTACACTTTTACAGTTCGATTTTTCTGACTTAAAAATTTTCTCATTTCCTATGTTATAGAAAAAGAATTGTTTTTCTTCAAATGCAATTGGTAACTCTTTTATTTAAGTGCAAACTATTATTTGGTTAAAATAAAATCTCTTAAGATTAGGGAAAAACGTATTTGTTTTTTTCGTCATGAAAATTTATTTGATTTTCAGCAATAAAATTTATTTGTTTTCGATAATGTAACCTAATTTGGTTACTCGATCGAATGGAATTCTAATTAAAATCAATCTTAGTCGTGCATTCGTACGTTAAAACATATACAAAATGCACTCATTTTTTAGCACTTATACTTAAAATTTTAAAACAAAAACTCCATTCTCTATACTTGGCTTGTATGGTAACACACGTATACATACATGAATGAAATAAAATATTTATTTTTTTAATTGTATGTGGATAGATCTATATCTTTTACAATTTATGTGAAAATTTCAAAAAGTGCCAAAATGTTTCGAAATCAAACAAATATTTTAGAATATAAGAAGAAACTCAGCAAAAAAAATAATGAAATAAGTAAAAAATTCTTTATTTTCAGAAATTAATTAAGTATTGAATAAAAAACTGCGGACATGGCAGCAGGGATTTGTTTAATTAATTAAAATTTAAATTGAAACTGAAACAATCGCTTTTATTTCCTAAATGACTTAGTAATTAAGTTTTTATTTTAGGGTGTATAAAAAAAATTTTAGTGTGTTTGACAAATTCAGGAGTCTCTTAAGTAGACATCTTTTTAGTCATTTTATAGAGATTTTAAAATTAATTATCAAATTGGTATGTGCAATACATACTTTTGTTGCAAGCGTTTGGTCTTTCCAATCATAGAAAAACACAAATGAACTGCAAATTTACAAGTAATTTTCATTATGAGTAGATGAAACTAGACGCTCAATATTTTCAAAAGAGGTTTCATAATGAATAATCTAGGCGATAAAAGCAAAGATGTAAAACATAAAATTTGTTCATTACTACACGTATTTTTGTTCAATATTTGCTCAATATGTCGGCTTACAATATTTTTTTAGAAGTTTACTTGGCAATTGTCACTTAGATTGTTGATTACTAACTTGGTAAACTTGGCAATTACCATTTATTATACATATGCATATATAGGTACAACATACTTAAATTTCTATACAGTTAGTGTCATCATCGTATAAACATTAACCGACTATTTAATATGAATACTTAATTTTAACATTATTATGAATATTAATTATTTGTATATTCGTCCTTTAAACTTTATACATATATTACTAAGGAATTATTTCAATAAAATAATAATATGTATATATAAATAAAATTTTCAATTTATTGCGTTCCATTAAATTAAATAGGCATTAAATTCAATCTCAATTCATTTAAATTAATCAGCCAATAAGAATCAAAACCAGATTCTTATTTAATGCATTTTTACCTTGACCCGAATATGGTTGTGACATAATTATTTTGTTGTCGATTTCATTTTCACTTCTTAAATCTCGTTACCATCATCTTAACTTATACATAATATTGTATATGTATATACATATTAGCAATATATGTATGGTATTATGCATTATTTTAATGGTTGTTATTATCATCATCATGATTCTTGTTTTTTTATTATAACCATTGTATTTGATTGCAGTTCATATATTAAATGAACATTTTCAAATTTTTATTTAAATCATAAAAATAAGTTTTTCCGCCTTAATAATTTCTCCTTATAATATTTGCAATAGAGTGGTCGATTTTATATTTTTTTCTGCAAAAAGTAAAGTATTTATTGGCAGAAATAATTCAAAAATATAAACATAAGCAAACTAATCAAGTTGTTAAATTATCCCAAATTATTTGCTATCTCAAAACCAGTTTTTGTTTATTTTCGGTGTAATTTTTCTCCTGTACGGCAACTCTGATAAATGTTTTGTAATACCAAAACGAAATTCCTTTGGTCTTTAATTCCGATTTCTTCTGAATATTTTTGATTTCCAATTTTTTTGATACTATGAGCTCCGTCTAATTTTTAAAGCAAGAATTTTTCACTGATCCTTTTATCTAAAAAACATACTCTTATTTACGAAAATTTTTGAAAAAAAAGTAATGTTGGTTACCCGAATGCATGCAATTAAATTGTTCAATATACATACGCGATGCATTAAGCATTTTATATGTATATACATATACATATACATATGGGTATATGCATTTGAGTAGAAATCCTTTATCTGATATTGTTATACTGTACAATATAGTATATTAAAATTTGTACAATATTTTGATTGCGGATTTTTTTAATGTATATACTTCGGTTTTCTTGCAACATAATTTATTTTTGCATACACATACCCACACATACTGTGCATATGCAACTATACATATGCATGTACATATTTTATTTGTGCATTCATGACCTGATTTTTTGCTATAGAAAAGGAAATTTTTTCTTTTATTTTAATTATTGTAAAAATTTTTAATGCAAGTATACCGAAAAAAAAAATATTATAAATTAAACAGAGCAATATACAATTGACCTAGCCAAGTTTATTCTAAAGTTGGATTGAATCTGATGGTTCAACTAGGCCAACTGATTTTTCGAAAATAAAAGTGACATAAAAAATTGCAAAAACTTTCGAATACAAATAGAAATTTATTTATGAAAAGCTTATGACAAGTTCTATTTAAAAATCTGATTAGATTTAATCTTCATAAATAATAATTTTACTTAAATATCTCAAAGCTATTTTTATTTTTGAAAGATATACTCATGTACTTATATACATAAATATTTGTATTTATATATTTTTCTTTTAATGAATTTATAACACAAAGAAAATTACATATGTATGTAAATGGCTGTCTTACCGTAAACATTGTCTTACCGTAAACATTGTCTTACCGAAACATTCTAAAAAATAAACTCTTGAATAAAAACCATCACAACGTTTTGAAATTTATGAATCCTAAAACAGCTGAATATTTGCTAAACAGCTGCGGGCACTATGTTCGATTGCAGCTTCATACTTGAAAAATTTGCGTTCTTGTACTTGTATAAAATTACTATATTGTAAAAATTCCATTGTAGTATTACAATTATTATAAGTTGTAATTGCGAATTTATTTAAAAATTAAAGCAAAAAACAAAGTGGAAACGAAAGCATAATTGAGACAATTGGCAGTGGAAGTTTATAATGATTAATGTTCAAGGTTTATTCTTGAAGTATTTGTTAGCGAATGGTCATTTTAAATCGATTATATTTCAAAATCAATTAAAAGCTGGGGAAAAAAGCGAAAATTATTTTCGAATTTGTATTTTAATTTTTTCTTTAATTTATCTTGAGTTAACATTCATGATAATAAAATTGCAGTTTGTCAAAATCAGATTTCTTTCTTTTGATTTGTGACACATTTCTTATAATTAGTGAACTAGCGTGCAACGCTCTTCAATTTTTGTTACTGATTTATAAATTTATAAAACTCTTTATCAATTTCTTCCTTAAGCCATTCATCTTACTTATGAAGCACACTCAAACTGACAGATGACGTTTTTCGGTCATTTCCATGATGACTTTGTTAAGATAAGCCGGTAACAAGATCTGATTAGAACCATTTGATCTATTGAACAAGGGTGCAGAAAATATCCATTCACCCTTCATAATTGAAGAGTCGATTTAATTTTGACTCACCTTGTTCACTTCTTAACTCTTTTAGAAAATTACGAAAATTGCAAAAAAATATAAAAAAAGTAAAAACAAAAATGGCAAAAAAAATAATTTACGAAATAATTAAAAAAACGTCGTGCATATTTAACGCACTGCTGTTATCATTTTCGCATATCGCATAGCTCCCGTCGTATAAACGCAATAACAAAAACTATTTTGTGTTCATTTCTTTCTCTCTTTCTTTTTTTTCATATAATGTTATGATTTTTGTATTCTTATTTTTATTATTTATTATTATTACTAACTTATTATATGCTTGTACGTTGTGTTGTGTATATATGCATCGTACTTTATATATGAATTTACGTTTTGCTTACTAGTCTCGTACAGTTTCGAATGGAAAATTATTCAGAAACGCGTTTTTTAAATATAGTAT